CCCCCCCCCCGCAAAAAAAAAAAAATCACACACAACAAAAAAAACAAAACTAAAGCATGTATCTGCTTGAACTTCCCACAACACCTAAATTGCTCGCTCCGGGCCCTGTCAAGCAGTAACTTCTCCACATCAAGGCACCAGAGGCACGGAGTCCTGTATCATCTCCCACGTAGGGTTTAGGGTTTAGGATTTTGGGGGCGAAATGGCTAGGCTGGCTTTTGGTAGGCCCTAAACTGCTCTATAGTCATGTACCTTACAATGTAGAACTCTTCCAAAGCCCTGACAGCTAAGTACACCTCTAAAGAGTCCCCTGAAAAGCCGATGAAATTCTGTAACCCTAAACCCTAANNTAAACCCTAAACCTTTATAAGCCCTAAACCTTTAGACATCTAAACCCTAAACCTTTAAACCCTAAAACCTAAACCGTTAAACCCTAAACCCTAAACCTTCAAACCTTCAAACCTTTAAACCCTAATCCCACACCGAGCCCCAAGTCTGAGAGCTCCGCGTATTTGGGAAGCGCGGTGTTGATCTGCTTCCTGGCACAAACCCAAAGGGTCCCATGTACCTATATTTAAAAAGTAGAATGTAGGGTTTCAATAATGTACCTACATAGTAGAATGTGGGGTTTCTATAATGTAGCTACATAGTAGAATGTAGGGTTTCTACATTAGGAATTACGATTGCGATTTCGGGAAGTATCCCCGGTAACAGTACACAGGACCCCTTGGGAAGGCGTTGAGGGGCGTGGGGGTCTAGGGTTCCGAATGGGTGAGGGTTTACTATAGGGGCCTTCATAGCTACAAAAGGGCTTTGTGGCATATCAGATTTACAAACCTCAGGAATCATTGTATTGTATTTCAGGCCTTCAACATTAGAGGAAGCAAAGCGCTGAGGGCCGCTGGAACACCCAAAGGAAGCCCGAACCCTTTGCAACCAGGGCTCCCTAATTGGCTCTCTAATTCGGGTTTCGCATGCCTTTGCCCGAGCATGTGGAGACGAGGGGCTCTGGTATGGAGAACCCTTGCCATATGGGGGGTTTCCGAAAATAGGGGAGCCTAACATAGTACCCTTAATATTAGGATCCTTATGATAAGGACCCCAAAATAAGGTACCCTAATTTTCGGAAAGTCCCAATGTGTCTTTCTGGCATTCAAGCGATTCCAAAACCACGAGGAGCTTGTCCACATACCTCCGGGAAGTGCAGACCCGGCGCTTCGTTGCGACGACAGCGAAGAGGGCGCCAGAGCTGTGGCAGGTCGCAAGGAAGGGATCAGCTCGCGCCTCCTCCTCATCCGCCTCCTCCCCGTCGTAAGGCTCCTCGTTTAGTGGCTCTTTAAGACAAATCAAACATAATCGTCCAATCTAAATAGACTCATTTAAGAATATCTGAAGATCTTCTGCTTGGCTTTATGCTTCCCTTCAAAGAGAAAAGCAGAGACGGCTCCTCTAGGAGCTGACGAAATTGGGTGGTTGTGAGCTGCTGCACGTGCTTTGTTGCACACTCGGCGAGCAGAGGAACAGCTTCGTCGAAGGGCAAACGGCTTAGGGCCGAAGGAAACATCGTACATGCAGCCTCGACAATCGGAAGCTGAACCTTCTTCCCGATGGAACACTGAGAGAGCATCCGGGTGGTTAAGACGACCTGGCCCAGGGCGTTCAGTCGCAGCTGTTCGGATGGGAAGCGCTTTACTCCAACTTCTGCAGCCATATCCGAGGAGTAGAGGCCCCAGTAATCCTCGATGTCACGTCTGACCTCTTCCGGTAGCCCCAGGAAGAGTCCTAATGGTGGCTGTGGAGCAGCCCGGCGGGGGCGCACTGGTTGCATCTCCTCGTTTTCGGCCGGTGGCACTGTGGCCGCGGCCGCGGTTGCCGTCCCACTTTGCTTGGAAAGTACCGCTACGAAGAAGCCGCCGTGGTGGGCTTGCGGGCTTGTGGGCAACACCCGGCGGCATTTGCGAAGCTGCTCCGCTACCGAGTCCGAAGGAGGGAACATGGATTCTAAGGCCCACTTCTGAGGCTCTGATGACGCAGAAAGCTCTGCAAAGGAGGAATACATCTCACCAGTCCTCTCAAAGTGCATATCTGGTACCTTCCAAGTCGTCAACCCTTCTTGGAACTCCCGGCCCTCTCTGGCATCCTCCCACGACTCCACAGCCGCGCTGGGGAACTCCTTCAGCAGCGCCGCCACGACGGCCTCATCCTCGATTGGGTTCAGGGAACACGTGGAGTAGACCAGGCGTCCCCCGGCTTCCAGGCACTCGAAACCTTGGGGGAACAGGGCGCAAACGCTTCACAACTTGACCCTAAACCCTAAACCCTAAACCTTAAGCCTTAAGCCTTAATCCCTAAACCCTAAACCCTAAACCTTAAGCCTTAATCCCTAAACCCTAAACCCCCTATCAACCTCGTATACGCCGTAGGGAAGCCTCGGCGAAGAAGGCCTACTTGGAGGGTGTGAAGAGTGAGCGCTTCGCCAACACACCATGTGCGCCAGTTCCCCGGGTTCTTCCGCAGGGTGCCGTCCCCAGAGCAGGGTGCGTCAACGAGCACTTTCCTAGGTTGGGCGTTTAAGGGCCCCAAAAACAACACTCCGAATAAATACCCCGGAAACTGCTATAAGGGAAATGAACACTTTAGGCCAAATTTATCACCTAGAGTTTCTGGAACTTGATCTTGTATCCGTTTCTGCGCCGCAGAGACGGGAACTTTCGGCCATCACAGTTTGTGACCATCAAGCCCTGCTTTCCTCGGCGTCTGCATCGCTGGGCCACCACGACAGCCCTGGGCCGGGAGTAGTCGTTGGCGACCAAAAGACCTTCTCCGTCGCCTTTGCCTGGGTGTATATAGGGTTTAGGGTTTAGGAATTTATGGGGTTTAGGGGTTTTAGGG